TAACCAAGATTTACCTTTACCATTTAGACATCTGTTTAAACACTAAATTTCGTTCAACAACCTTAGATGTGGCTCTGCCAACTATTTTATTAAGATTTATAGATTTTCTAAAAAAAAATAAAAGAAATTACATGTAATAAAAAAATAAAATAAAATAAAAACTATCTAATAATCTAGACTAAATATTAGCTATCTCCTGTTAATAGATATGTAAATATACTTATCTGTCTAGATCGATCTATCATTATCAATTCCCTTCTTTAGACTCAAAAGAACTAGCTCAATGACTACTAAAATTATCAAGAAAAGAAAAAGAACATATCAGAACTGGTTTAAAAATCTATCCACTTATATTTATATGTAAGGGCAAGTTGAATCCATAACTTTCAAGTATTAGTTGGAGTTATGCTATAATCATAAGACAAATGTTTATATTTCTTCTTCATGTTTTTCATATCAGAAATAATATATTTCAGTAATTCTTTAGTATTCATAAGAGAGTAGTGATATGACCAAATTTCATTAAATAGTCACTCATAAAGAGCAACGATTACCTTCGTAAAAATCCTATTAGTTTTCTTAGACGATTGAATCAGGTTCGTGAGATTATTAAATAACAAAAAAAGTAATTTCTCTTGAATTATAGATAAAAAAGATAAAAAAGAACTGTTTCTGTTTGTAAGATATGCAAAGTATTTGTTTAAGAGAAGATCTAAGGATGATGATATTGAAGTAAATAAAGATGGAGAACAGTATTTTGAAATCAAATTAACGATTTGAGACTTAATGTTAAAAATGATAATATTGATTTTTGATAAATAAGCATCACATAACCATAAATGATCAGCTGTCTCAGTAGTTAAATTACATACAACACAGTTCTAGTTTTTGTATAAATCTGGTTTCAATTTTTCCAATCAAGATAAAGTAGTTAGTTCTTCTAAAAATATTTTTGTAATGAATGAACAGAGTTTTCATTGCTAAAAGGAAGTTGAATATATAGCCTGATCTAATGTAAAAATAGATCATATTGTAATTCAATGAACTTTTGCTTGTTTAGTTAAGGTTTTAAGACCATCATTTCTATACAAGTTAATAATATTTAAGACTGCAATAGTGGCAAAAATGTCTTTAATAAAGTGTTTCACTAAGAATTCAATTATAATATCATTAAATTGAAATAATCACTTGATAAAAGGGACTTTTAAAAAGTTGGCTAGATCATCAGCTACATTATTATAAATATCACCACTATGTTCTTTGACCTTAATAAGTGTAACACTGAGGTTTGATTAATCCACAATATAATTGATAGTCTTCCAGAAAGTGTAATTAGACACTTTTTCAAATGTTCGAACTAAGGTTGCTGGACGAAATCAAGATTTTAGACAGACATCTAAATGGTAAAAGTAAAACTTGGTTAAATTATATTAAAACCTTATTAAAAAATCTGCAAAATTTGGAAAAGGGTAAAACTATATCAAAGCTTATAAAAATGGCGAAACTATATCAAACACTTAGTAAAAATTTAGCGAAACTAAAGGTTTTACCGTTTTGCTAAATCCAAAATGAGTTTAAACAAGCAACCTTAGTTAGAACAGAGAAATTGTTATTGAAGATGTAAGAGCTAAAGTCATAGATAGTAGTTATACTGTCAGGTATAAAGTGACTTTGAGATTTTTAGAAGAAATAATCTATGCAATGAGAAGTGCAATAATTTCAGCTCTAGTTGAAGAAATCCAATTGGTTACTGAGGCACAAAAAGATTATTATTGATTCAAACAAATCCAGCCTATTCCTATTCTACAATTATCAGAAGTAAGATGAACTAAAGAGCCATCTGTATAAAATGAAAGAGAAAGATCAAAAGAGCTATCTCTAAAAGATAATCAATATATTGCAGTTCATTAATAAGTTAATATATTAATTATGAGGTAAATCTATCATATTGAGGTGAAAGAGTGGTCAAGAAAGCTTTACTTTTTGCATAATAGATAAGTTCAAATGAAGATAAACAAGAAAAGTTATTCAATGCAACTTTCTGATGTTATTTTTTGCCTATGATATTTATTTTAACAATATTTTGAAGTGAAACTTTAGACACACATTTTTTTTACCATTCAAAGAACAACCAGAACATTTAACAAGACTTTCTAATCCCATATTAAATTGAAATAATGTATATCAGCTGTTTCAGTATGTGAGAATTTCTAGTAACTTACCCATAAATATTGGTATTAGCGTGCAGATTCCAAAAAGTGACATATTCTCTTCTAGTATCAAAAGGGTTGATAACTTAATCATAAAGTGAAATAAAAAAAGAATATTCATCTAATTTATATTCTAATTTAAGAAATCTATCTAGCAGATTAAGAATAATTAGATTAAAAATAAGTTTATCTACAAAAAAAGAATCTATTCTAGCAGATTTTGATAAAGAAATAGAAAGGCAAAATCTAACATCTTTCCAGTTAAGAAGATGGTAACTATCAAATAAATTAATTAGTCCTTGTAATCTTTTAATAATATTAAAATTTTATTTGAAAGTAGAATAAGAAAATAATTAATAGAATGGGTGTATTCCTCTTATAATGTGATTACTCAAAAAATCTTTGACACTAGGTTTAAAACCAGAGGTAACTGTATTAATGATGCTAAGTTGAGTACCAATTAGATTTTTGTGAGAAGAACAGTTATAAGAATGTTTCTATAAATGAAATGGAGATGAAGAAGGTTAAGTAATTGTAGTTGAAAGAGACAAATTGAAGATACATTGAAATAAGAATCTATCGAATTAAATTAGTTAAGGAGAGCAGTTGTAAAGAATTTGACTTGAAGAGACCAAAGATCGTAAAGGTTGTAATATTTGTTACTATTTAAAATGGCAGTTGGTATTGTAATAGCAAAATCAGACTTTTTTTTGAAAAGAATTCTAATTGAACTAAAGTAAATATTACATTTTCTTTCAAAAAGAGGATACATTGTAGTCAGTATTCTAACAGTATGCAGAGAACTGAATTAACAATATATGCAATTTGTTTATCTATGGGAGGCTTGGGCTTCATGACAGCTGCAAAATTATTAATATCTTTTTGAGCCTGCATTTTAATGAAGGTTTAGGAGTTTGACTGATTGATCTAAATTCCAAAAAATCTCACTGAATTTTGTTCAGGTATGATAGTAACAACCGAAGAACCAAAATTAATATTAATGATTTGGAATGCAAATGATATTGTTGAATAAGCTTAGACTTAGATTTATTCGAAGCAACTCTAGTTAAATCATAAAAATCATCAGCTATCATAAGGATTTCTTCTAGATTTTGTTGAGAATTAGCAATCCAGTTAGTACCATCAATAAAGGTTAAGAATGATACAGATTCTAAAAGCGTCATAATGGTATTGCTAATTATGTTATTTATCCATATATGTGATATTTTGTATCCTTTATTTAGAGCATCAACTAAAGCTTCACATAAGCTGAGCTGGCTTGTGAGCCTTACGAGCCAGCTTGCGAAAGCTCAGCTCGAGTCGCTATAAAACAGCTCATGAGCTGATCAAGCTAGCTCATGCTGTGGCTCAGCTCGTCAGCTTGGATTTTTCATTTTTGAAAAAAAATCCAGAAGTATTAACTTTGAAGAAAAATGCTTTCGGCAACGATTTCTTCAAAGTTAAATGATTCCGAAATGATTCTTCAAAGTTAAACAATTCCAGCAATGATTTCTTAGAAGAAAAAATAATTTGGTAACATTTTCTTCGAAGAATAATGCTTCCAGAGCGTTTTTTAAATAAAATCGCCTTCAGAGCTCTTTTTTTAAATGACAACGCCTCTGGAGTATTATTTCTAATTAATAACACTTCAGGAGCATTATTTTTAATTTATAATGCTTCCAAAGCGTTAATTTTAAATTATAATGCTTCCAGAGCATTTCTTTTAAATAAAAATGCTTCCAGAGCGTTAAATTTAAAAAAATAACGCTTTTGAAGTGTTACATTTAATAAAAACGCTTCTGGAGCATTAATTTTAAATTATAACTCTTCCAGAGCGTTTCTTTTAAATAAAAACGCTTTCAGAGCATTAAATTTAAAAAAATAATGCTTCCAGAGCATTACATTTAATAAAAATACTTCTGGAGCATTATTTTTAAATTGTAATGCTTCCAGAGCATTTCTTTTAAATAATAATGCTTCTGGAACTTTTTGAAGAAATAGCCTCTATGGTTTTTCTATTGAAATGAAACATTTCTGGAGGCATTTTCTTGAAGGAATTCGTTTTCAAAGACGTTTCCTTGAATGTAATTATTTCTGGAGGCATTTCGTTGAAGAAAATCATTCTTAGAGGCATTTCCTTGAAGGGAATCATTTCCAGAGACGTTTCCTTGAAGGGAATCATTTCCAGAGGCGTTTATTTGAAAGGAGTCATTTTGGAAGATGTTTCTTTTGAAGGTATTGCTTCTGTAGCTTTTCCTTTGATGAGAAATATTCCCAGAGACATTTCCTTGAAGGGAATCATTGCCGGAGGTGTTTTTTGAAAAATTGCTTCTGTGGCTTTTTTTAAAAGGGAAAAAGCCTCTGTGGCTTTTTCTTTAAATGAAAGCACTCAATTTTTTTAAATGAAATTTTTAATATTAAGGTTTATGAAATTATTATACAAGCCTCATTAGCATTTTTTTTGGATTTATAAAATAAAAAACTTTTAATTAGAGTATTGAGTTAATATTATTAAAATATTTTTTTTTTTAAATAAAATATCAATTATGTCACAAAATAATCAAATAGATTTAACTTCTGATAATGGCAAGAATCATCTTTAATTACTAAAAAAAGAACTTCAGAAATATATTAATATTTTACATTAGATTCAGCTAGTCGTTAGAATTGCAATTATTGCAAGTAAGTATTTTTTATACTTAAATAAATACATAATATAATTTTAATTAAATTTTACTATAAATTAGCAAAAACTTTGATAACAAATCTATTTCGGCATTATAGAGACATATGAAAAGTCATCATCAAAATATTTATAAAAGTAATGAACTGTTACAAATAAAAGAAAAGTTTACATCTCACGGATTTAGAAAAAAATTAATTAATTGAATAGTAATTGATGATCAACCATTTACAGTTATTGAAGGAAAGAAATTTATAGATATATTAACATATCTTAAATTTGATTTAAATTTACCATCAGCAGATACTTTACGACGTGATTTAAATGCAAATTTTGTACAAATAAAAGATAGCTTATTTCAAAAATTGCAGGTAAATATTTAATTAATAAATTAAATAAATATATTTAATTATTAATATTTATATTAAAATTAATAGGATGTATCTAGTTTATTTTCATTTACAATTGATGCTTAGACAAGTAAAAATCAACTCCCATTTCTTGGAATTTCAATACATTAGATTACTAATGAATGGCAATTAAAAAGTACTATTTTAGATTTTTGTCATTTATCAGATTCACATTCTGGAGAAAATTTAGCAAACAAATTTTTAGAAGTTTTGCGAGATTTTAATATTTCAACAAAAGTATATA